AAACTCATCCATCCATTTGGCTAAATAACGTTTTGACATTTTAACTAATGTCAGTTTGTGATGAACACCCTAAATCTAATTCTTAACCCTAACTATCAACTCTAAATCATAGTCCTTACTGACATAAGTTTATAAACCTCATTTAGCTCCAGTAAGTGAACATTCTCAGGGTCACTTTAGAACCGCTCAAAAGTCGTCCATAAATTATAGTTTCACTGATAATGCTTCAAGTGTATCATATAATTGTAGTTTATCAATTCAGTTAATGTGTGGAGAATAAAAATAAATAATGTACATTTAATATAGTGAACAAGAACACATTTGGACATCGAATGTATTTAAGTACAAATTACAGACTAGCGCATTAAAATCTTATAACCATACAGTAAACAGTTGATTTGTAAAATAACCATCAATTGTCTCAATCTTGACTGTTCCTTCTGCAAATATCAGTCCATAGTCTCCGATTTCATTGTTCATGCATTGTCATACCGATAACGCTTCATTCTGGTTCTTTCCTTATCGATCTTTTGCCAAAATATATTCTATGCCTGAGCATCACCATAAACTACTTATGTTGATATAAGTAACCCACACCACACTTTGACATTAAATTAATTAAAAATATGTATACATGAGGATTGACGAATAAATGATATACATTAGTGTAAATTCATTTCTATTAAGATAAAAATTTCAATAAAGTCAATCTTTTGTAAAAAGTCTTAGTTATCTTGAGAACATTACTATTATGTCTAACCGAATAAATGGATTGATTAAAAATATTCTCACAAACAACTCTTCATTTTGAAATGTAGAGTATTGAAGAATGATAGTTAAGTAAAGAAATGATAAAATCTCAGCCTGTTATTCAATTAAACTGACATATAAATGGATCATCTTATCTTAATTCAGATAGAACATTATAATAACATAAATGTCTAATAAACAACAGTTAATTTGTATTCACTTAGTATTGTTTGTTTGAATCTTCCCATTTATGTTTAGGACTGCAACTGTTCAGTCTCTTATTGGCATATGTGCATACTGTACGTATTGCCTCGATATAGGACAAAACGCGCGTCTTGTATTCCACTGCTAGCCACTATCCATCATTGCTTATAGTTAATTTCAACTGATCCACGAAGTTGAGCAACCATTCACCAATTCCGTGGATCAGTTGAAGTTAGACATTAACACCGTTGGATGCCAGCTCAGTGGTCTATCGGTTAAGGGCTACGGCTCGAGACTGGTAGGTCCTGGGTTTGAATCTCGCTCGCGAGAGTGGGTTCGTGGATGCGCACTGCTGAGGAGTCCCATAATAGGACGAAACGGCCGTCCAGTGTTTCCAGGTTTTCCATGGTGGTCTAGCTTCAATTGACTCACGCTTTCAACTATAGTAAACACTAAATCTCCACAAAACCCCTTCTATAATTAATATAGTTAATTTGTAGTTTTGTTATTAACAAACTATAAATTCAAAGAGAAAAAAGGCAACATTGTTTTAATGGACAAAAAAGATTAACAAAGAACATGCATAGAATACATCTGGCCAATCATAAAATGAAGTCAATCGATATCTACTATATGACATCCTACAAAGTGCTCATATACTGTTTGCATTAGTTAAAGCATTTTCTTCAATCCATGATTTTATGTCAAGTAATAATATAAAGTATAGTTTTAATCCAAATTATACATATACATATAATCATTGAAAGCGTTTTGTATTGTGGTAGAAGTTGTTTCACTGATTATCTTCTATTATTATAATTGTACCCTACAACAGAATTAAGATAAAAATTATATCAATACTAACTGTTTCCTGAATTTGACATTTTCCAAAGTCAAATTATGTTATGAATGAAATATTCCCCTCATGAGTCAATATGTTAAACAGTTTTATTCTTTCTCTTTTCTTCAGCTTTGTCTTTTACAAGCAATAGTCATATCCTAAATTTATGCATGATTAACTTAGAGCATAAATGAGAAATAGAAAGCAATATGACAATTAATTTATGAAGTAATTGTTGGGGAAAAAAATGTTTATTAATTATGACAAAATAAAACATGGAAAAATCAGTAACCATATTAAATATATAAATCAAACTTTACTTAGTATCATAGAAAGTTATTATAATAGAACTAAAATAATCATTTGTGAATGTTTAGATCTTCTCGTTAATAATATTGAAGACCAGAATTAGTCAGTTTCATTTTATATATATGCCTACTAATCTATATTCCCATGTAATTATAAGTTATTTAGTGAAGCTATACAATTATCAATGGAGAGGATAAGAATAGTCATCTCATTTTATTCAGGACTCATTAGGTGGATCTAGGTGTATCCATGTTCATGTTGACAATGAGATTCGAACTCGGTAACTTACGTTTCAAAATCAAATTGCTTTATTCACTGAGCTACTAAGTTCAGACAGCTACTAACTTATGCAGTATGGACAAATTTAATTTGTAAGTGTTTATGTATTCCTAATGATATACTTACGACGGTAACTGATTCAACTTGATCATAAATTTCATAGTCATTGTCCAAAATGTAATATAAGTTTGTTTGCTAGTTCTGGCTTCCAGACTTTCATAATAAAAAATGGGGAAACGTTTTCTTTTGAGACGTTTAAACAATATTTAAAAGTTCTTCGTTGCTAACTTGCCTAAAAGGTAAAGGGGAACAGTACAAACACATAGAACATAAAAAAGTCAAGTGGTTATTAGAAAAATCTAATTGTTTTATTCTCACAATTAACATTCATATTCGTTTACTCGTTAACAAAATGTTTTGTCTCATTTAGGTGTCAATGTTCGGCAGTATTCATTTATATTAATCAATACATTTTTTTTTAAATTTCTTACTACTGTTGAACAATTAGTTTAATGACATTATAAATACTGTTTAATGAATATCATTTATTCAAACTGGAGTGATTTTTAACACAGAATGTGTCGCTCAATTCCGTGGATCAGTTGAAGTTAAACATTAACACCGTTGGATGCCAGCTTAGTTATTCTAAAGGTTAAGCTCTCGCGCACGAGACTGATAGGTCCTGCGTTCGAATCTCACTAAGTGGGATAGTGGATGCGCACTGCTAAGCAATCCGACAACAGGACCAAACGCCCGTCCAGTGCTTTCAGGTTTTCCATGATGGTCTAGTTTCAAATGACTCATGATCTCAACTAGTGAAGTTTGTATCCGTTTAATGGAAAAATAAGACTTAGAGAAAACGTAATATGTGACTGGTGAACAGATAAACTACTTTGTCTGTTCTCAAGTATATTCTGGATATTTCCTGGTATTAAAGACTTAATAAAATATTGTGTAAATAAATGGTTTAGAATTTTAAAACTAAAATTTCACTTTGGTCCATTATTCAAAAATTTAAATTTATCCAGGAAACATCTAAGCTTTCATCATTATGATCAAATATCTGAACAGTTAATACAAATACTAAGCACTTACTTGTAAATAGTCTTCTGCATTGTCTCATCAGTGATTTGAGTAAGGAACTAATACTGACTCTCCACAAACTCAAATATTCCATTAATGGTCCCACTATGTAAGAACACAAACTAGTTGCTGTGTAATCTTATCGCTGTGATCTTTGTGAATTGAATTTTTAATTGTAAAGTGCTAAACAATATAGCAAATTTATATTAATCATAAGCATTTCGAAACCTGGTATCTGCTAGAGCATCTTTTCAGTGAGTTTTCCCATTTTTCCAGACATTAATTCAAGTATGCTACAATTTAAAATGACACATGTTTTAAACTAAGTATTTTACAATAAATAGTTTTCAGGGAACTAGAACTTTAATTTATCAGTTAAAAGATCGAATTTCGTTGACAAAAACTAGTCGATAAAACGTTCTGTACTTGAATGTTGTACTGTTTGTGAGTTGTGGTCTACTTATATCCACATAAGTAGCATATGGTGATGGTCAGGCATAGAATGTATTTTGCCAGAAGATCGATAAAGAACGAACATAAATGAAGCGCAATCAGTATGAAAATGCATGAACAATGAAATCAGAGAAGCTGGACTGATATTTGCAGAAGTAAATAAATAATGTTGATTTACAATTTACTAAAATCAGTGCTTTTATTGAGGTTTTGTTTCTAATTCCATGATCAGTACCAGTAATGATTCGGCCATATAGAGGTTTAATGAGGGGATCACTTATTTTCATACGTATTTTCGAATTAAAAAGGAATCTGAGAAAATATCGATGTATATAAATGAATACTAAGACTGCTACCAGAATTAATTAGAGACTGCTATTTTCACTTGAAAAATCGATTACATGTATGTAATTTATAGCAACTCTCCTACAGTCAGTTTGGATTATGGTTAATTTATGTTAGGCCTTTTTATTTACTTAATTAACAGACAATGTTCTTAGAACAGTAACAACCCTTCTATTTCTTTGTTCTATTATGATCACTATCTTATCCGTATAAACGTGTGCGCTTGATCATAAGACAGCCTACACACATCTCTCTCTAGCTTAAATATCGCTCGATAATTTATTCTCTTCAATACGTGTGCATGCACTGGAATCCTAATAATATACTTTGCTTTGCCTTAATGTGTTCTTATTCGATTTGACTATAAATTCGCCTTTGTATTTGCTTTCATACGCATATCCGCCTCTCTGCTTCAAACTTGCTGGATGAGAGTGTAGTTTTGTGATCTGTGCTCTGCACTAATGAATTGTAGTTGCCATTTCTTATTGCCTTGTGAATTTAAAAATTGCTGGGATTTATATTATAACGGTTATCAAGATGATTGATCAACGAATTTAAGTCACTACAAACCTTGATCTTCATTTGTTTGGTTTTGTTCATATTTAGTTAATAATCAATTAAATCATGTATTTTGAATAATCTTTAGAATTGATCTTTTCACATGTATTCTTCTAATGAGTTCTTTTCATGCATCTTTAAAAAATTTTAATAGTCGTTTCTTTTTATTTTTTTTTAGGTATTGTATGGAAATGGAAATTAGGCTCAAACTACCAGAACAATTTCATCTACATTTTGTATAATGTATTTAAAGATGAATCTATTGTTTTGTTTTCTTCAAAATATTTTATCTTGTATTATATTGCTTCACTATGAGTTTTATACCGTGAAAAGTGAAAATAGAGTAGCAATTCAAAATAATGGGGAGAAATTTTCCCGATTCAAATCATTTTTTGACATATCGCCAGATTATCTCAAATGGTCGGAGAATCAACGTGTACAACTAGAATCGATTACAAATAATCTAGCATCAAACAAAACGACTCACGTTATGGGACCTTTAATCAATCCATTAGAGCAATCTTCGGTAACTCACAGTGATTTTAGACACAGTGCGAATAAACGAACATCGAAGCAAGCACCTGATGAGAATAAAAATGATATTAATTCTGATATCGAAAAAGCAAACTCTAGTTCCGTGATCGATGAATCTAATGAGGGTAATATTACTGCATCTATTGTAGTCTATTCAGGAACAACGTCAGTTATATTAGCACTACTAACAGCCATAGTTAGTTTTATCACAATTGTTGGAAACATACTAGTTCTTATTTCTTTTTTTGTGGAGAGAGCATTACGAACAGCATCAAATTACTTCATAGCTTCATTAGCTGTTACAGATGTACTGATTGGATTTTTTTCAATGAATTTTTATACTTTATACCTTCTTCTTGGACGGTGGCCATTAGGAAGACTTTCATGTGATTTGTGGCTAAGTTTAGATTATACAGCCTGTTTAACCTCCCAATACACAGTACTAATTATCACCATTGACAGATTTTGTTCAGTTCGTATACCTGCAAAGTACAGAAACTGGAGGACTGAAAGAAAGATTCTTATACTAGTTGCTGTTACGTGGATTATACCATCATCTGTATTTTTTACCACAATAATGGGTTGGCCTTACTTCCACACTGACGGCAATCCTAGACCAGATGATGAATGCTATGCAGAATTTGCAACGGACCCTATCTTCAACACCGTTTTTACCGTGTGTTATTTTTGGGTTACTTTGTGTGTGATGCTAGTTTTATATGTTGGTATATATCGTGTAGCTGCTGATTTACAGAAGCGTAGTGACGAAAAACGAAATCGTGTTTCCGGCCTTATTACTAATAATGTACAAAATAATAAAACAACCACGCAGATGCTGTTGAACAACCAGAGAGCTTCATCTCACGGTTTGAACCAAAAACCCACAAATAATCATAACTATCCGCATAATAGTAGTATTGGCGGTTTAGGAGATTCGTCGGGTTTCGATTCAGACGAAGGTAAATCAGACCCTGTAAGACAAAATACTTTATCGAAAACAACCAAACTTGGGGAAAAGCAGAACAGACAGATCACAAAAGTATCAGCTGAACCACAAACCGAGAAAGCTTTTGTTGCATTGCCGAGAATTGAAGCTAGATGTGACATTCAACCAAGTATGCTAGGAGCAACTGGTATTATTCCTACGAAAACAAAAATTCGCGATTTATCTAAAGCTAATCCTAATCGTTTAAATGAAGTTCCAGAAACCGATCTAGGTTATAGTTGTCCAACATCCGTTATGGTAAGTAAAAATCTTGGCCTTGTAATCAGTTCACCAGTTTTGACAGATGACGATAGCGGACTTGAAGTAAATGACTGCCAATCAGTTTCGCAGAAGAAAAAGCAAGAGTTACCTACACCACTATCTTATGATTGTTTAAATGAAAAAGAACCAAATCCAGTGTCAGAAAAAGAGGATCAATCAGCCAACCATAAGACAGAATACAAAAAAGAAAGAAAAAGTGAAACACCCATTGACTCAGATTATCAGAATCGTGTTATGGAACAATTCAAACAAAGAATGGCAGCTTTAGGTAATCAGAAAACAACACCTCGAGTTACAGACCATACAAAAGTAAATAATCCACCATCCAATCAAAGTTTGTTAAAATGTAAGCAGGCTAACAACCACTCTCGATTAACACTGAATACTTCGAATTTTTCTGAGTCAACGTCATCAAAAGGTACTGAAAATACTACAAATAACACTCACAATTATGATGCTCACACAACAGTTTATTCTGCAAATTCAAAATCACAATTCTGTAGAGGCAACATAGATTGTTGCAACTCTACAGAGTTAGACACTAACTTGCAAACACCAATGTATGTAAATAACTCATCTCCTATCTGGAAATCTCGCCCTATGTGCTGTGATGGAATAGTGAGTGCACCATGTTCAGTTAGGAGTTATCAATGTTCAAATAGACGAATTGAAGAATGTATGAGCCAGCAAGTATGCGTAATATGTATGCGTCAACAACAACAACAACAGGATTCCGATACATTACAATCAAGTTCCAGTTTTGGAGATTTCGGGGGTCCAGTTGTATGTGATGAAAAATGTCTATGTTATTCTCAAGATTTTGATAATCAGAAAACATTAAATATTTCTGTCGGAGCACGTTTATTATTTTATGTACAATCAATTAAGTTAAAAGTGAATAAAGAAAGTATTGTAGAGCACGTTAAAAAAACATTTATACGTAGAAAATCAAAACACAAAAATATTGAACGTGGTCGACGTGAAAATCGTGCACGTAAAGCATTAAGAACAATCACATTTATTATGGGTGCTTTTGTTATATGTTGGACACCTTATCATATAGTGATTATGATTAAAGGTATATGCGATGATATTCAAAAAAAATATACCTGTGTAAATGATATATTCTATAGTGTAACTTATTGGTTATGTTATATGAATTCACCTATTAATCCATTTTGTTATGCATTAGCAAATGCACAATTTAAAAAAACATTTCTACGTATATTTCGTGGTGATTTTAGAAGATTATAATGAAGCAGTACATAATAAAGTGAATTAATGTGCATTTCTATTCTACTGATAAGAATGCCTTTTATTTTCTTTGATATTACAAATGTATATTATAAACATGTTACTATGCTTATCATCTTTAAACGTTAATTTTTTTTCTTTTTTTTTAATAAATCATTCAAACATCGAATTAGTTACTATCCTAAATCATTATTCATTTAATAACATAGAAATAATTGAAATATGAATGTATAATAAACCTTAATTGCTTTATATTTATCTTTTGTTCTGTTTCTTTTTTAATAATCCCAGTGCTGTATTATTCTTGATTAATATTTTGAATATATGAAAAGTAAATTGATTTGTTAATTCAATTATTGTTACCAAGGAAACATTAGCTATTAGTCAAACTGATATGGATTAGAAACAGTTAAAACTATGTACAAAATTTTACGAATTTCTTCTTTTTTTTCATTTTTTAATGCAAAGTTTCGATTGACTATTTTTTGACATAAATTTCTTTGTAAATGATGTTGTTTGCTTTCGTTTGTTTGTTTCGTTAACTCCACCTGGAGCTCCTCTAGTGCTTCTTTTTTTTCTTTTGGCTGTATAATTTTGTTGTAACACTTGAGAATTATGTAAATGAATAATTTTAATAAACTAAAAGTTTAATAATTATGACTTAAATTTTAAATTTTCATTTACGTGAAAATTTAATAACATATTACATTTATTAACTTATTAGAATGAATAAAGATATTAGAGTAACCAGACTAAAAACTAAAGAATATCAGAGTGAACAGTTATTTTTAATAATTTCATCATTAAGCCCTACAGCTGTAAATCCAATATTATTGTAATATTGTACGCCTGTAATGCCTCATGGAGGAGTATAGGGCGCCCACCAGCTTTCTCTATCCAACCCTGTCCTGGGCAATCCTTTCCTGTTTTTTGCAGTTATTATTCATCCTATTCGTATCTGCTTCCAATTCTCGACGTCGTGTGTCCTACGGCCTTCTTCTTTTCCACTTCCCTTCCAGATTCCAAGTTAGAGCTTGCCTCGTGATGCAGTTTGGTTATTTCCTGAATGTATGTCCTACTCAATTTCAACGTCTTTTCCATAATTCCTCTTCAACTTGAAGTTGGTTTGTTCCCTCCCATAGTAGGCTGTTGCTGACGACATTCGGTCAACGGACATTGATTATCTTGAGTAGATGATTGTTTACAAATACTTGTACGTTTTTGATGATGATTGTGGTAGATCTCCATGTTCCAGCTCCATAGACCAGAACTGTTTTGACGTTCATATTGAAGATTCTCACTTTGATGTTGGTTAAAAGTTGTTTTGACTTCTATATGTTCTTCAACTGTAGGAATGCTGACCTTGCTTTGCTAATCCACACCCTTACATCTGCATCGGATACTCCTTGTTCATCGATGATGTCGCTGTCCAGTAACGCGAATGTTTCTATCTCTTCCATAGTTTCTCCATCAAGTGTGGATGAGTTAGTATTCTCAATATTGTATTTGAGGATCTTTCTTTTTCCCTTGTGTATGTTAAAGCCTACTGATGCAGAGGCTTCTGCTACACTGGTTGTCTTGACGTGCATTTGTTGATATTTATGGGATAGAAGGGCCAGGTCATCTAAATAATGCATACATATATAAATGAATACAAGACAATGCTATTTATGTTACAGCAAAGCACGTTTTCATTGTTCGTGGCTTAAATTTGTCCAGAATGTTTCAATTGAAAGTTACAAAGTTCATTCAAAAAAGGATCAAAAATGTAAGTGTAGAAATATTTATACGAAAATTGTATCAATAGCAGACACATCACTTTTGATATTAAAATTTAAAAGTGATACTATCCAAATAAGTTTATGATTTTTACGAGCACTTTTTGTCATTATACAAAAAAAATTTTGAATTTTTGTATAACTCGAACTTCAGGAAATCAACGTATGCTTCCATAAGCACTTTCATGTACTGCCAAAAACGTAGATTTCAAGGCAATTTTTTAACTTGTTCCTACAACCAAACGTTTAAGGTGTTTATTTCTATTGCTTAAGTTACGTATTTGAATCCATTCACCTAAAAATCAAAATTATTTCTCCTTTTTTAAATACTCACAGAAATCGTCGTTAAGTCTGAATTGCGGATCAAAAATATAGTAGCGGTTCTTTTAGATAACGTTTTGAAATGACTTTCTTGTTATTTTTATCGTCTTCACATTAAGACAAATATGAAGAATGAAGTAACATCTACTGATATCATTCTATTTCCGGATACACAAACCCCATTTACTTAATCCACGAACCCAAGGGAAACGATATATATATATATCTATACTGATGTGACTTCAAACTGGTTACAGAATTGCCACCAACCATTTCCCGGGTGAGTGACGCAAAAGGTCAGTTATATTTGTTATGTGGCAAGCGGAACGTCCTTCCGATGGGGTCTTGATCGCATCCATCACTACGCGATTTCTTCATGACTACCTTTGTAATAAAAAGTTTAAAGACGAAAGCTGACAGACTATTCTTGCTTAGGAAGCTTCTCAACGACGCATTTAAAATATATGATGAAGACTTCAATATCTATATTATCTTGTTGTTCAATAGTTACAGGTAATTGTCTAATTTTATAATCAATAAAGAATATCAAGAATTAAAATATTATCCCATTCTTTAAAGGTCAATTTACAAAATTACCTACATTGCAGAAGCTTTATCTATCCACAACTTAAAATCGTAACTGTATTTACAGAAGTAGTTGTTAAATTTCTCTCAATTACATAGTCCAATAGTTTTTGTTTGGATAAATTTTTTCTCGTTTCTATTACTACGTATGATTATTATCTATTTGTTTACTTAGAATTCCCAGTTACCATTTTCGTTACATTATCTTTACTTTAATATTTTGATTTATGATGCTCACATTTACTCTATCCTACTAATTATATATTTCTTAGGTTTGATAATTTCTCTCTCTTGTAACCATTTACTTAGAACTATGTGGTTAACTTTTAATTAAAACTCTGTTATTATTTTAACAGAAGTACTGTTTTAAGATCTATAATTTGTGACATATGTATACAACTGTACAGTCATGAAAATGAACATTTTGAAAAAGATTTCTTCCTTAAATTAGTTACTTTATGGTCTATTGCGTGTATTCAAGTTAGTTTTTATTTGTTACCTCAGTATTATTCATTAATTGGTGTATTATTTAGGAAACAAGGAACTGTTACAAAGCAACAAAATTTTATGATCTAATAAATTTAAAATTAGTTGTCGCCTTTATTAATGTCGATAGTGTGGTAAGAAGAAGTAGTCAGTCTAGAAAATTATGGTTTATTCAGGTTATTTGTTTAGAAAATTCTGGTCACACATATACTTATCATGGTACTTATACATGAAAATAACAAAAGACAATTGAAGGAAGCATCAAATTAAATATAGAGTAACTATTTGAGACAAACAAGAGAAAAAAAATATTCATATAATATGGAACAACTAAAAAGTTATCACATCACTTTAGTTTTTAGTATAAATTGAAGAATACCGCAGTAGATTTAAGTTTAGAACAAAATGGTTTTGTATACGTAAAGGAATTTTAGCTTTTATAATAATTGAGGCTTCCATAAACAAGAATAGGCGTTTAAGAATTTCTACATAAAACTTCAAAAGTTTATTTAATTTCAATCTTGTGGCCTGATTTGATTGTGTTTCACTGTCCAGAAACATTGTGTTTCTATTCGATTGATTTATTAAACTATTTTGATAGTTGAAAGCGTGAGTCAATTGAAGCTACACTACAAGGGAAAACCTGTAATCACTGGACGGCCGTTTCGTCCTATTATGGGACTCCTCAGCAGTGCGCATCCACGACCTCGCCTCGCGAGATTCGAACCCAAGACTTATCAGCTTCGCACCAGAGAACTTAACCGATAGACCACTGAGCCAGCATCCAACGCTGTTAATGTCTAAATTTAACTGATCCACGAAGTTGAGCAACCGTTCAACAATTGTCTTCAGTGAGTTGATATCTCACAACGGACGTGGTTTGAACTCCACTGGTCACTGCTTCTCACTAGAACTAGTATTTTATCTTAATTGATTGTGAAAATACTTGTGTGTATATAACTTTGGATTGTAATTTTCAATTATTCCACAACATGAATATATTTCTATAGAAGCGTTTAAATTCCAATGACATGTGATGTGATCGTCTGTTACTTTATATTCATTTGACTGACCCATATTTATTTTCATATATAACTGATATAATCTCTATGTTTTATACAAATAAACCATAGTTTTCTGATCGACTACATCTTTTCATTATATAAAGTTATTGGTTCAACTTATGACAATTAGTATTCGTTTTCTTAGGATATTAAGAAATAAGTAGCAAAAATGTTCACTTGACTTTACCTTTTCGTAGTGTAATAAATTTCTGAAATTTGTAAACATAAAATCCCTATTGTAACGATTTTCGACACTTGAACAATACCAAACCATGTATTTGTAATAAAGTCTACATGTTGTTGAAAGAATATGCCTTATAATTGTATAATTTTAATTTAAAATACTCAATGACATTTAAGACGTAGAAACATTTCTATTTCAATATTAGTATAATCTAAAACAATCCAAAACATTCTCACTTGAATATTTTAATATCTAAAAGATCTAATTTAAAATAAAGTACTTTATATTACACTATATATCTATTCTGAAGTGAAATCTATGGTACTTGAAATCACTTAGGAAAGCGGTTATTCATATTGACTGTTAAGCTATTTCCTATTGCACTGAAATGCTGTTAAACAATGTTCAAAGAGATATATATCATGTCTCTCTGACATACATTCATCACATATCTAAAAAAAACTGTCAATCACTTCATTTTTTTAAAAATGTAATACTCTGAATATAAATTACTCTTAAGCATATTAGTAATGTTACAGCACCAATTACATCACCAGAACTTTGCTGTTTCATAATGAAATCTTTTTTCAAAATATGAGATCTATTTCGATGAAATATTTCTGTTGATGTTCTTAAAAAATACTTAACTGAGTAAAAAATTCATTTTATCAGTCACATATATTTTATTCAGTTTAATGGATAGGATTAGATTTGTTTGATTAAGGTGGTTATGCAAACGCATATATAATGTGAATAAAATTTACAGACAGAAAGAGTTATGTAGATGACAGAAAAAAGAACTTTGTTTGATTATTTCCTGTTTGTAATAGAACGTGTGTTGGCATATATAAATTATATAGATGAAGTGAACTACATGTACATGTACGTGGAAATCGTTTTAATGTTGAAACTTGTAGAATTTAAACAATAATATTCATGATCTTTCATAGTTGAAATCATGAGTCATTTGAAGCTAGACCACCATCGAAAACCTGGAAGCACTGGACGACCGTTTCGTTCTATTATGGGACGCCTCAGCAGTGCGTATCCACGATCCCACACTCATGAGATTCGAACCCAGAACCTACCAGTCTGGCGCCAGAGCATTTAACCGATAGACCACTGAGCCGGCATCCAACGCTGTTAATGTTTAACTTCAATCAATCAATGAAATTGGAGCAACCGTTCAACAATTGTCTTCAGTGAGTTGTTATCTCACAGCAGACGTGGTTGAACTCCACCGGTCACTGCTTCTCACTAGAACTCCAGGACATGTATCTTGAATTCAGTCACTAGTGAGCATATGATTATAATCAGAAAGGGATTTGTAGAGATTTCAGTATTTTTCATAGTTGAAATCACGAGATAATTGAAGCTAGACCAACATGGAAAACCTGAGAGCACTGGATGGCCGTTTCGTCCTATTGTGGGCTTCCTCAGCAGTGCGCATTCACGACCTCGCCTCGCGAGATTTAATCACAGGACCTAGCTTCAATTGACTCATGATTTCAATTATGAATTATGTTGAAATCTCCACAAAACTCCTTCTGAATATTAACGAGATGAAAATGAAAACACAGAAAACAAAAGGACGTTAATTGAAAACAAAATGTTTCATATAAAATGGATGTATCCTCC